AAGTTGAGTGTATCGTAAAGTTGTATTCGGAAAGAATAAACCAGTTTTATTTAAGAAAGGACTTGTGTCGCTAAAGTTTCGTCGGAACGAATTTACGGAAAATAAATTAACGAACAAACGGAGACGTAACAATAATAAATGCAAGATAATGCATGTGAGTTATAATAATTTGAATTATAAGTATAATTTTGATGGGAATAACCTTAACAGTGTCATTAAAGGAAGGGATCATGGTGTAATAGTTGATCAGTCTCTAAAGTCATCCATGCAGTGAGCTGTTGCTAGTGATAGGACAAATAGAATTTTAGGTTTCTATCTACAGAAATATTGAATACAAGTCTAAATAGGATATAATTTCATTGTATAGGTGACTGGTTAGGCCACATTTGGAATATTGTGTTCAGTCTTGGGCTCCTTACCTTAAGAAAGACATTGAATTATTGGAAATGGTTCAGAGAAGGGTTACTGGAATGGTGCCTGGGATGGAGGGGTTGTCATAAGAGGAGAGGCTGAAATCTCTCAAATTGTTTTCTCTTGAAAAAAGAAGAGTTGGGGGGGTCTTAGTGAGGTGTTTAAGATTGTAAAAGGAATTGCTAGTGTTGATGCATCATATTTTTCATACTTAACAGTGAGAATAGTTGGACTAGGAGACACAAATATAAATTTTGGCAGGGTTGGAGTCATCTTCAGCAAAGACAGTTTTATTTTTCTAATAGGGTGGTTGGCCTTTGGAATGGGTTGCATTCAGATGTTGTGGAGGCAGTAAATTTAAGCAAGTTTAAAAGAAAGCTTGATAAGTATATGAATGATAAGGGCTAGCTTTAAGATATATTTTTACAAATTTATTTATTAATAGTTTTAGTTTAGTCTAGAGGATGGAACCAGCTGAGATGGACCAATAGGTCCCATGTTGTCCCTAAATGGTATGTTATATGTTAACTATATTTATGTGTTGTAATATTGACCCATGACAAACAAATATGAAAAAAATCTCTCAAAAAGTTTAAATTGTGAAAAATAATGAATATTTGTATAAATTACATGGGCCAAGCTCATACCAGTGGTTTGAATCCCCTTACCAAAAAAAAACAAAAAACCTACTTTGGGGTCTTGGGTGCATTACAAGAGTGATGGTCAAAACCCACTATTCAGTTTGACAAGAGTAACCTAAGAGTTGGTTGTGGGTGGTTTTCACTGGTTGCTTTTCCTTTAGTTTATTGTTTCAAAACTAGGGACAGCAAATGCAATTAGCCATCGTGTAGCTTTACAAGAAATTCAACAAACAAGAAATGAAATTTTCCAAATAATCCCTATGTTTTCTTTTTTTTCCAGAATGAGTTATTACAGTGTCGAGATAAACATGTTTTGATTTCAAAAATAACTTTGAAGGTGTTTGTTTTGATGTATGTGCTTTGATTATATTATTAAATTGCTAAATATTGCAGGTATTAGCTACATAATCTTAATTTTTAAGTCTATTAATTTTTTTTTCTTTAAATCTTTCAGGAACTGATGAAAAACCTATGATTGAGATTTTGGGGCATCGTACCAATGCTGAAAGACAAAATATAGCTCTTTCCTATAAGACTCAGTTTGGACAAGTAACTTCCATTTCTTAATTTATTAGCTTGTTGGACAATTTATTTTCATTGTGTTTTTATTGGATGTTTTCCAAATTCTGTTAACCTATGAAAGTGAATTTCTAAATTAAGCTAGGTCTGTGATAATTTCATAGTGGGAGGACTAAACATTTAGAATTTGAGTTTGAGAACAAAACAGTTTTGCTTTTTTCTTTGGTGATTTTTTGCTATATTTTAAAGGAGAAACTAGTAAAAGTGGTAATAGAACATTAAATTAACTTTAGTTGTACAGAGAACACTACATAGTCAAAACTGGTATTCAGGAATTGGAAAGGATTTGAAATTATGAATTGAAGATTTCTGGAAAAATAAACATACAAGTAGTGGGATCAGATATATATATAATCTTATAACCAGTGAGATTAAGCACTTAAAATCACTGTATTCTAATTTACACCAAATAATGTTTGACTTATAACCATGGTGTAGCTAATGAGCAGGTTGTCAGTTATCTACCTACTTTATTAATATCTTTTCTAATGCCTTTTATTATATGAAATATTTTACCCTAAATATAATTCATTTTATACCAGAATAAGAGAGCTTTTCTTTGACAGAAAAACAACAGTAAATCCAGAAAAGTAAGGTGGATTTTCAGTTATTGATTTCAGTATGCATACAATTTTCAGTTAGGCTACAGGGCAACAACCTCTTCAAATGTACAAGTATTATTACTTTCATATTGAAATGGCATCTTTGTAATTTTTAGCTACTGATTGCTATCTCAACCAAGTACCATTAGGCTGTTTTTTGTCTGTAATGTTTTAATAAAAGTTTTAATTATTTATTTCAGTGATTTTAAACTATTTCATGACATCAACTGTACTTTCCAACTATATCTAAGTATTAGTCCTGGAGGTATTACTTTCCCATGTGATTTTATTCTTTTGGACTATTTTCTGGACATAAATATGTGCATGCAAACTTTTAAAATACAATTAATGAACACTGTACATTAATATTTATATTGAAACTAACCCACATGTGGATAATTCATACAAATAAGATCTGCTTTATGGACAGTTGATCAAGTGTATATTTTGTTGTGTAAGTATTAAGAGCTTTTGATGAATACTAGTTATATTTGAATCGTTTGAGTTATGAAAGTTTAAGTTTGGGCATACTTGAAGTCTGTTTTCAATGTATGCGATTAAAGATTAAGACTTTTATGCATGTAAGATATTTTTAAGACCAGATAAAAACATTAATTGAGCTAATCTCTCAAAAGCTGTAAACTACATGTCTGAATGAAAATGTTAAATATCTTTTGTTTTCATTATTTCAGGATCTAATTGATGATCTTAAAAGTGAATTAAGTGGACATTTCGAAGATGCTTTGGTAGCATTAATGACTCCTGTTGCTGACTTCCTTGCCTCTGAATTAAATAAAGCTTTGTCAGGACTTGGGACCAAGGAAGACACATTGGTAGAAATATTGTGTACAAGAAGGAATGAAGAAATTAAAGCTATTACTGAAGCATATGAAAGATGTAGGATCATAACTTAAATATCTTATTGGTATAGTGTTAGATACACACACACACACACACACTTTTATTTCAAAAGAGAGATTTTGGCTATTAAGATTTTTAGTTAAACTTAGCACTAAAGTTTTCTTTATATCTTGGTGCAATAACTATAATAGGAAAACATCTGTGATCACATTAGATAACAATACCTATACCATGACTAGTTGAGGGAGCCATAGTTTTTGAGCTATATCAGTTCTCATCAGCCCAGCTAAATACTCTTTCATTCCAAAAGTGTAGTTCCTCAAGCCTTCTAAAGCTCCATGGCATGGGTGAAAATTATATTCAACCTACCTGGGCTGACTAGAGTTACATAACTTTGCTTGAAACTGCAGTTATCAGCTGTTTGTGTTATAGATTTCATTCACTAATTTGAGAAAATGCTTTCATGTCACAAACCCAATTTTACTTTTCTTTCAAAGAAGTTTGAAGAGTTCTTTTGCCATTCTTGTGTGTGTGTGTGTTTGTTCGTTTATCGAATGGCTGGACCTATTAAGTGATTTGGGTGATATTCAGACTGTGCTAAATTCAGAAGAGCTAAATCAACCACTAAATTGTTATTATCCTATTAATAATTTATGCAAGCTGCGTAAAATTATGAAATTTTTAAATCTCACAAAAAATTATAATTTTAATCATAACTTTCATTTTTCAATTTTTGCTAGAATAGAAAGAGATCAAAATCTTCATTGGAACTATTGCCACTATTTTGAAGAAAGAAATAACACAAAAACAACTTTGTATATAACTTGTACAAATTTATTTTTAGTTTAATTCCTTAATTTCTCATTAAACATTAAAAATAGGATGATAAAATCTAAATGGTTTTTCACAGTTAAAATCAGTGTTAACTTTAAGTACATAAAAGTTCAATGGAAATTTTAACAACTGCAGAGAACCTGGAAATGTTAAATTGTCTCTTGTTAAAGGAACATGTATTTAATTTCCATGATGAAAACTCTGTGTTCTGCATTATTTATATTACTTTACTTTCTTCATGGTATACAGAGGAGTTTGAACATTTATGGTTAAAATATAAGTATGAATACACTGACCTTACAGTTTTCATTTTCCATCAAGATTATATTCTGCGTGATGGGCCTTGCTTATGGACTATTGCTCAGCAATACAGTTCCAATTGCAGGAGAAATTTTCACAATACATTGTGCTATTCTTTTCCCTCTTTTCTTTACTTGTTTTCAAATTTCATCAATTGTGCAGTGATGACAACTTGCAAGGGCACACTTAAGCAACCTACAGGCACAGAATTCAATGGAAGATGTATATGAATGGTATAGCATCATTTCTCATTTGTACTTGCATCATTTGGAGAAACTGACATATTGACTTGGACCCCTTGGTTAGATGCTTTGACATCCATTCTATGCTGTCTTTTTTGCAGTATAGTGTTTTCAGAACATTGGTATGATAGTATGCAGAAGTCACCATTATAGTAATAACCTGCAACCACGATAAATCCCATAGAAAAAAACTTTTCCAAGATGCTCAGTACCATTTTTTAAATGTACAGAATGACAATAAATTTCCCAAATATTTACAGACAGGTAAGTAGATATACACTTCAACCAATGTGGTGATATCCTGCTAATTAATTTTGTCAAAGCTGCTTATATTGTATTCAACAATAGGTCATTTGTTTGGCAATGTGTTTTTGAAGAAGCTTGTAAACATGGCTTTTACAGCACTAAATCCATGAGAATAATCTTGTTTACTCATTCATTTGATGGGAATTAAAGGTTAATTATTAGTAATAATATGATGGCAACAACAACAAACATTTGATACATGTGTGTGTGTGAAAGTAACAAAAATTTAATTCGTGAAAGTTTTGGAATGTATATTTTCCATCTTCAGCAACCTATATTAAACAAGGTAAAATATTAGATACGAAATTTCTAAACATTCCAACATTTTGTAAAGAGGAATTAAAATACAGAGTAAAGGATTGAAATTAATTAAAATAAAAATAGGATAATGCTGCAAATGTTGTAACAATATTACAATTTTATTTGTGAAATTATACAAGTTATTCAAAACAGACTTAATTTTAGCAAAGTGTTATAAAATTTGTGTTATAATTTAAAGTTGGGAGCTCATTTATTAGAGATAGACTTTTTTAATAGGAGAACTTCGTGTAAGAAATTCCTCCTAGAGAACGTCAAATTTATACGCCATCTACACTTATAAATCATTACTTTTTGACTGAATTACAGCAAGAGAGTCTGGGCCTTTCTTCTTATAGTTGTAGACCATAAGAATGAACAGGAGCAAAATGACGAAGTATGATAAGAATTGTTGTCATAGATCAAGAACAACTCTCTGTAGTCTTTTAAATTTGTTATGATGGCCGGTTGTCATAGTTGATGATTTATATCTTAATAGTGTATGAGAGAAGTTTGGAAGATGATCTGAAGAGTGATACATCAGGAGATTTTCAAAGACTCATGGTTTCCATGACAGTGGTAAGACAGGAAAATCATATTACAGTTTGAAAGCCAGAATTTCTATTTTGCAGAATCATGATTTAACTGCATATATTTTCCACTTTGATGTAAAACTGTATGAGCCAAATCTATTCTATAAATAGTTATGTAACATGGCCTGTTTATCAATGTGCACTGTTAAGATTTTTACTTAATCGAGGCTAGCTTTATACCATAAAATGATAGTTTTTGTGCTGAATTACAACAATTATACTCAGTTTTAAGTATTAACTCTTTAACTGCGGATGATGGATATTTCTGTCATTGAAGTTCTATGGTGGAGCTGCGAATGACAGATACATCTGTCAGTCGCACATATATAACTATAACTTTATGCGATTGATGATAATTACCGTTTTATTGTGATTGATAGCAACTCAGTTTTATCTGTGAGTCAGAGAACGGAAACTGAGCTGCTCCTGCAGCAGTTAATAGGTTAGAGATGAGAATCCCACTGGATTATTAGATTTAATATCATGATCAGTTTTAAAGTAGAAATGTTTTTCTTAAGCAGTTAAAACTGTGAATGTTTCAGCATCTAGCAGTGAGCCATCTTCAGGCAACTTACAATTAACAACTAATTGAATTTTAGTTGTTGTTATTCACACATTGTCTGAAGATGGCTTGTTCCTATGGGTTAAAACATTTACTGTTTTAATTATTTAAAAAACATTTCCACTGTAAAGCTGATCATGATATGAAATAACATTTATTAGCTAGCCTGTATGCTTTAAAGTGATTGAAATCAAATGTTTAAAACAAAATGACTGATATATGAATAAAAATTATTATATGATCTAGTACAGTTTAGGTCTATTAATTAGGGTTTAATTTTTGGTTTCAGCAAAATTTATCTTTTATGGTGCAACAAACAGTATCTTGTGATACACATTTATCTTAATATAAATTTGTGTCTTTATAGGCTGGGCGAGAAGAAGGACCAGCAGATCCAGACCAAGCTGTGACAGATGCACAGGTGCTAAATTATTATATTTTATCTCTTACAGTTTTTTAATTATTTGGTCATTGCAAAGTTTTTGATAATTCATTTCATAATGGTTGGCCTAGTAACAATATTAATTGTTTAATTCATTTAAAAAGTTTGGGTGCTGGTGGAAATTTTGCCATTTATTATAATTATTAACTATTTGCAAAAATAATTGCTATACAGTGAAAATAAAATCAACAAATATGTAATGGGTTATTTTTTAAACATTAAATACATACAGTGTGTTTTAATTGTGCTCAAATCAACAAATATATTTATATTTCTCAGTGTTATTTGGTTCTTTAAAATATCACTTAGTGTATTGAAATATCTGTCACTAATTAGTCTTATGACACTAATCAGGCTGTGTTACAAAACATCAAGAAAAATAACTTAAAATTGGTATGTAGGATACTTATAGGTGATAATATTCTAAAACTAAAAATGATGTTTGTGTGTGTACTGTTTTGTTTTCAAAAAATTATATTCTTGATCAATTTGAATAATATATTGGTCTTTATTCTCATATATATAAGCAAAACTTTACTATGAAGGATTGTGGAGTCAATTTTGAAATTGTATAAATGCTGTTATGAGGGCAGAAAAATCATAAAAACTCTAATACTGTGAGAAAAATCAATGTTGACATTCAAATTATAATCAGTCAGTTTTTGGTTATCCAAAAAATAACTAATTTATTTCATAACAGTTTCTTAGAAGCTTCTGTAATGTTCTTATACAAACAACATTTAGGATTCAACCAGGTATGGAAAGTCCAGTGGTTAATATGCCAGACTTTGAACATTCTGTGGTTTGCATCCTGTTACTGCAAAGAAAAAAAAAATTTTTCACAGTTTGAATTTCAGTTTTCTTATGTGACTCGAGGACAAGATGTTTGCTATTGCTGATAAATAAATATGTATATATTGTGTACAGAAATATTTTGATAACAACCACTCTGTCACTTAAATAAAATAATGACCTATATCTGCATAATGTAACTTTATTACCTTAATATTTTACTCTTACAGCTTTGTCAGGAGCTATTGATATCCTTCCAGCTCACTAATCCAGTTTAGATTCAGTTCATGAAACTGTAATAGCAAAATATTGAGCTAATAAAGTTACATTTTGGATATATTTTGCTATGAATAAAGAAATAATTGTTACCATTCATTTGTTTTTCTGATAGGCCTTGAAAGATGCTGGAATTGACCAGTGGGGAACAGATGAGTCTACTTTCAACTCTATATTCTGTTTACGTAGCTACCAACATCTTCGTAGGGTATTCTGGGAATATGAAAAGCTTGCTGGTGTGACTATTGTAGAAAGTATAAGTAGTGAAATGTCTGGAGATCTGAAAGCTGGAATGCTTGCAATTGGTGAGTGGTTTAGTTGTGCTGTTTTAATTGAATAAAGCTATATTACTTGCAACAACTGTTTTTATCTAGGGATTTTAAAGTGCTTGCACAATTTATGTACTCTTTTAATAAAATATATTTAAGCAAAAATGATGATAAGTATAAAATATTCTAGCTTTACTGTGGAATCATGGAATCAACAGAAAAAATCACAAAAGTTGTCATCTTTTGAGAAAATCATAGTTGTAGTCATATTCAAATTATTATTAATGAGTTTTTGGTTTCCCAAAAATTAATAATTTAACTTTTTTTATATTAGTCCCTTTTCCAAAACTAGCTGTGATGCCTTACACAGAGAACAAACATGTAGAATCACTTAGGACTCAAGTAGTTATAGTTTTCTCAAACAAGCTGTTAAATACATTGACACAAACCTAGTGAAAAGATTGATCAACTGGGAACAATTATTAACTTTTTCCATCCTTTCATTTCCACATTGATGTACAACTGTGTGAGCCAAATCTATTCTATAAATAGATATGTAACATGGCCCATTTATCATTGTGCACTCTTTTGCCTCTTTAATGGCCACTGATGTCACAAAGATGTTTAAATAACAAGGGAGTATCTATAGGCTTTTTACTATCATGCCTTAAATGGGTTGTGCTCATTTGTTTAAGTTTCTCGGATTTTAAATTAGGTATTTCAAGAATTTTTTTTCTATCTATACCACTTGATTGTTTGTTGAACAGTTTATGTACCCAGGTAAATAATACAAAATATGAGAATAAGTTTAAATATCCTGTTTTTTTTTTCTTTCAGCAAAAAGTATCGAAAATTGTCCAGCTTATTTTGCAGAAAAACTTCACCGAGCTATGAAGGTACACAATTTCCTCTTGTCCCACAAAAAGTCAATAAAGATATTTTAAAATTTCTAAGAATGTTACAAATGTTTCATTTTACCTTGTGATATTTCAAAAAACAAAAATTATACAAGCTGGGTCATAGCAACCCCATCCTCAGGTTTCTTTATAAAGATACTAAGAATACTAAAATGCACTTTTTTCATGTTAGGCAACTGCTGATAATTGTGGCAGACACTTTGAACATTTGTAATGTGAGACTTAAAATATACCTTAATCATTAAGAAAGATTTGTTGTATTATAATTTTGTTTTTCTTTATTGACAATTTGCTATGTATACCCTGTATTTTAACAAACACTAAGGGAAAGCATCTATACACAAAAAAAATAGAGAAATAAAAATAGCAGTATCCATATTTCCATCCTCTAAAATTCAAATTGTAGTAACTAGAATTGCTTCAATCGAATTTTATTTCTACTGAAGTAAAAAATACTCATTGTGGAAAGTTTTATACGTATCATCAGGGAATTGGATAATTAAAATATTATACTTGAAAAGTCATGTGCTATGTTTTTGTGTGATTTATGTAATATATTTTATGACAGTTTCACATTTGTGTTATACTACTACTTGATGTGTAATTGTTTCATTGTATTATTATATCTTAATGTGATAATTTTATCTATAGGGTTTTGGTACAGATGATAAAGCTCTCATTCGAATTGTCACTTCACGTTGTGAAATTGATATGGTTCAGATAAAACAGGAGTACCAAAAATTGTATGAAAAAACACTGGAAGAAGCAATCATTGTAAGTTTAAGTCCAAAATTTTAGCATTATAAAATAAATGATATAAATAGTAAATAATAGAATACAGACAATTCCCCACCATTATTTATCTTTTTAACTTTATATGAAAAATTCCTGTTATTTCATTTACTTGGAATGAATGAGATAGAGGTGGTATTTCTTCACGTTTACTACTCCCATTAATAAAAACGTTTTAAAGAAATTTTCTGCACCTGTACAAATATTTTTATTTCCATTTTTCTCACAAATAAAAGAAGGAATCAATACTGTTGTAAGCTATGTTACTATACTTTTAACGTAATTCTTTAGTTAGTTAGAGGGAACTGCAAGTCATAAGGATTAGGCTTAGAAAGTTCTAAAGATTTGATGTCTGGTACATTCAAGAGTAGATTTATTAATACAACATAGCTGTTTTCTAGCTAGTAGAATGAATTAGTGTGTTTACATTTTTGGATCCGAGTTAGCTATTGCACATATTGAGTTACCTCATATAGTAAGTTTATTCTTTACATTAGTGTACTGTTATTAGTGTCCTTTGTAAACATAGGCCTACAACAAGTTACAACAGTGTAAGTATTGAAGCTTGTAGAAATGCTTAAAAAGAAATAAACTAATTTGTTATTACATGGACTGGATGTTGAATTATTTTCACTGGATAACTTAAAAGAACCTGCCAATGAAAGCAACGTTACACTGCTACTTTGTTTTGTAATCAGGAAAGATTGAAATTATTTTTAGTGGAATATGCATTACACCAAAATTGATTGTAGGTTGTCATTGTTGGAGATTTAACGGTATAAGTAGTTATATAAAATTCCTCTGAAATTATAATTCAGCATGGAATTCTATGGAGACAGGAAGGGGAGTACTGAGGGTAACCTTGCTGAAATATCTGTAAGTTCAATGGTTTATATAAAACTTTCTGTGTTATGATGTTTCAGGGTGACACTTCTGGGGACTACCGAAGACTACTGGTCACTCTTGTTGAAGATGCCTAAAAGTTTATTGAAGATTATTTCAGCCTACAATTCTGGAGTAAACTTACAAAATTTGCCCATTTTCTTGTCAATGAATGTTTCTTTATTACTCTTTCTTTATAAATCATAGTTCTTTTTCTTTAAAATTAAGACATTGTATAACTTAAACAATATTATTCAAGTTTGTAGCAAGGTGATGTATTTTATATTTGATTTTCTTGTTGTTAAGACCATTTACATCTTTTAGATAAACATCAACAGATATCTTGTATGCTTTGACTTGTTGAAAAATGTAAAAAGTGGTCTCCTTATAAATCAAACAAGTTCTTGCCAATATTAGAGTTGTGACTGAAATAGTTAGAACTTTCATTATATTTTTTAGCAAATGTACTAGTAATAAAAAAACTTAGAAGATGCATCTCTGTTTCAGATCCAATTTATATGACGTGTTTCTGCTTAATTAACTCAGGTTAAAAACATTTATTTAATTATACTAGAATATTGTATGAAACTGGAAGTTATTTTTATCCTGCACATGATTTTAGTAGTGTACTTATTTTAATTTTGGAATTTGTATTAAGATGTTCAAGAAAGCTCTAAAAATTAATTAAATACAAAAAAAGAATAGTTTTAATGTAAGTCAGTCAGATTTAAAGATAAGCTTAGATGTTATTATTCTAATATTAGTAGTCTCATAAACAAAATGGATGAGCTAAGGGTCCAAATTGAAATGGAAGACTATGATTTAATGAGAATTACCAAAACTTAGTTAGATCTAGAAAATAGATATAATACAGAGCGTTTAGAACATTATATTAACCCTATGTGAATGGGTGGGGATCAAAGTGTTCATGCCATCATTTTTTACAGAGTGCCATTTAACATGGTGTTATGTATTTGATGTCAGTTACCAACTGTTCATTTTACACTACATTGCTGATTTAGTGACAGTTTGTTGTAAATGAGAATAAATATCAGATACAATATACAGGAATACTGAAAAAATACTTTAGATATGCATTTCAGAGACTAGAGGTTATGGAAACTGTATGATGGATAAAAGTATTTTTATTCTTCACAAGAACAACATTTTACACTACAACTTGTAAGAGTCGCACTGACATCTGCAGTTCACAGACATATCTTGAGAACAAATATTTTTGTAACACATCTGACTTTTTTGTGTACAACATACCTTTACATATTACTAAAAGCTTGCCACATTTGTGAAGATACATGTAGTAGATTAGAAATTACAGTCAACATTCCTTCTCCAATATTGCGTTGGTCCATTGGACCAACTCCTTATACATTCAATTTAACTGATTTTGAATAGCAAATTGCCAACCATAGCCAGTAAAAAACTGTAGTGGAACAACATTTATGAGAACTACATTTTAATATTATTTGCTGTTTTGTAGTTAGTGTGAAGCCACTGAAAATGTATTGCTCTTGGGAAGGGCATATAACAGCCCTTTTTATTCAGATCATAGATTTAAAATTTCCGAAATGGGGATATCTTTTGCACCTAATAGCATTGCAAAACAAAGGAATATGGATCAACTTGGGGTACTAGAACCTTCGAGAAAGAGACTTGCAAGAAGTTGTATCCCAGCTGTGAGCACAAAGATTAATAGCAAAAACCATACACATGCCCCAGGCAACTGTATGTAACATAATCAAGAAGGATATCCATCTGGAAAAGTCACACAAGTCATATGTACACAAGTTTCTGCCATAACATATCAATTCAGCTGTTGCATTTGTCAAGCAGCTGAAGAATTAAATGGATGTTCATGCTGTTCCATACGTAGGGCTTATGAATTTCTGTGTGCTAGGAAACCATTACTCTCATGGGTCGATGCTTTTACTCAAGATAGGCATTTTTACATCTGAAATAAAGGCTCAGAAATCATTTTCAATCATTGGTTCTCAACCAAAGAACTGTCCTAGCTGCTGATAATCGAATAGTAGTCACAAAGTCAGTTCATCAACTGTTGGACAATACCTCTGATAGCTTAGAGGTGTTAATTTTTTGACCAAATGACTGTCCTAGCTGCTGATAATCGAGTGTTAGCAACAAAGCGTGGCTTATATAACTTTGTTGGATAATATCACACAATAGCTTGGAAAACAAGTTACACTACTTCCTTTCAGTCAACACTTTTCAACCAAATGAATACTTAGCTTGCTGATTAGGCAGTTAATCTCAACCATATTGATCAGATTTCTCATTGAACTCACCATTCACTACCAGATAAGTAATTTCAGTATTTTCCTTCTTATTAGTTAAGCTGAGATGTTCTGAAACAGTATCCTTATCTTCCTCTGACTCACCAGCTCCAAACTTTGTATTCCTGGTCAAATAAAGACAATAAAATGTTCATCCATACTGTAAAGTCAAAGCTTTTCAACAGACCAACTTGTCAGATATGTACCTATCCAGCAAAAGCCAAGATGCTTCTATGTCACTAACATGTACCAAAGCCATACCCATTCACCTTGCTGGAATTTCCATTCCTTGATTGTTTTGTGGTAGCACCTTTTTCTACCATACAGCGATATTTCCTAGTTGCTGGCATATAAACTAATATGGATTGGACTATACAGATCTAAGGCCACGCCATATATACTTGCAGACAGTGTTCTAGGTGGTGGAGTATCATTTCACACTCAAACATGGACATATTTGGTGAATATCCAGTCTGTCTCTGTTCATTCGCGAGGTACACCAGCATAATGTATGGCAAGTGTTCATCCCAGTTAATTTGACTGGGATTAACAAACTCTACAAGTATCCACTCTGCTATAGCAGCTGACTGGGGGTGATAAGGTGGGGTGTACATCTTTACCATACTCAACACTTTACACAACTCAAAGAACAACTGATTATTGAAATTAGTTCCTTGATACGTGTGAATCTCTTCAGGGGTGCCAAAGAGGATTATCCATTCCTCTGCTAACATATCAGCAATTGGCTGTGCTAAAATGTTGACCAATGGATAAGCCTAAGGCCACTTATTGAAGTCATTAATAATGACTAGTACATACCAGTTACCGTACTATGTCTTGGGGAGAGGATCAGAAGTATCCAGGGCTAGTCTTCGTTGACTAAGAGAACCAAGAATTTTTTGCTGGAGTTTACTTTACTTTGTCTCGGCCAGCTTTTCCATTGTGCTGCGCACACCATGCAGTGTTGGCAACAGCATTGAGCATAGCGATTCAAACATGGTCAGTAGGATCACCACCGAATGTTAGAAAAAGTGTGTGTGTGACATCTTGGTGGTCTCCAAGACCTAACTGTATGCAAGGTCTGGAGAATTTGCTGCCTCACAGATCTAGAGACAACTAGCTGCAATGAAAGCTGAGAACCATGTTTAGATGGCTGATAAATACAGGATATTTTGCACCTGTAATTGCTCATACAAATGCTATAGACTACATGCAGCTGTGCTATATTTCTCAGCCCTTGGTAAGGCGAGCTGTGCCCATGCAAGTTCTGGGTCCTTTAGTTGTTTTTCTCGGACCTCCTGAAGTGTGAGCTTTGGTATTCAACTATTAGTGGAATTGCCTACACCATGACTGCACTCATATAGCTGAAATATCTTTAATTACAATATGATGTCCAGAATCAGGACATTCACTGAACATACAGGGTTTCACCATGTGGCAATGCCAGTTTACCATATAAACCTCTTGCAATATTGTGATCCAATGTGCTATTATTCCTTCTTGGTTTTAAAGTTCCTGAGCCAATTTAGTGATATTCATCTGTTTACAGTAATGGAAGGGTATCAAAGTGCATCTTACTTGGTGGAAATTAATACAGAACCTATCTTTACACATACATACCAAGCTACACCCAGCCTTACGAGAGCTGCACTGACCACCACACTCTTTGAAACAAGCTATCTGTTGCACTCCTCCATGGGAGAAGCTGAAAAAAAACAGCAGGTACAATTTGCTGCAAGCACTCCTATACCAACCATTCGGCTGGGTATGATTCGGTGCTTTGTCTGTTTTACTTAGAAGCAAGATTTTGGGCAGTTTACACAGAAATGACACTGCAACACACAACCAAAGCAGATGCTCTGATATTCCCTAGTTTTACAGCTTCAGATCTGCTCTTGGTGAAGTTTGAACTTGATAAGAGTCTCCTGTTTCAACAGGATTGTCCCTGTTGGGAGTTGTCACAAAAACTGCTGCTTTCAGTTTTCTCATCTACTGTGATTTGCTTGAAGTTACCACCTGAAACAGGTACCATTTATGTTAGGGGGATATCTCTCAACCCCAAATGGTGATTCATAGTATTACTTGGTAATCCCTCCACAAACCTACCAACAAGGGTGCCCATGCAATACACAGGCGCCATTGTAGGGTATGTTTGACCTTTCTATCAGCACATATCATTGACAAAGGCATCCAAGTTTTCTATGGGTACCAGACTCTTCCTCTAGATCATATGTCCTCCAATTTACATTGGTTTGGAATATTGAAGTAATCAGAGAATGGAAAAGCATATATGGTCGCTCAGTGATAACAAATATCCACAATAAAGATATACATACATGTATATATTAATTGTCACAGCCCCAAAATTTATCATTGCTTTTGGCTTCAAATCTTGGTCTTTCACCTGCTCTGATTAAATATCTATACCTGGTTCTATTTCACCATCATCAGCTCCTTCAGTCACTTTGACTTCAGTTTGATGACACCTGGTTAGCTCAACCTCTCTTTTGCAGCAATGTCTGCAGTCATTTTTGCAGGGTCTTTGGCTCAGTCTATCGGCATTTCCATGAGATTTTCCTTCTCTGTATTCAATATCATAATTATACTGGTCTGTCTTTCCGATCCCACATGCCAGTTGTCCCTCTGGGTTCTTTAATGATCTTAACCAGCGTAACGCAGCATGGTCTGTCCTGATGGTAAAGCTTGCACCATAGAGGTAAGGATGGAAATATGTCAGACTCTTTACTATAGCAAGGAGTTCCCTCCGTGTTACACAGTAGTTCCTTTCTGGTCTACTCAAAACCCTACTGAGGTAGCCCACTTTCTGAGACAACACCCCTCCAATTCTGACATTACTAGCATCACACTCCAGTATGTATGGCAGTGAGGGATCTGGAAGCCTTAAAAGTGGAGATGAGGCTAATTTTTCTTTCAAGGTCTTGAAAGCATGCTTGCAAGAAACTATCCATTCAAACTTCTGGCCTTTTTTGGTCAAATCATGTAGTGGAGCAGCTATAGTTGCAAAGTCCTTCACAAACTTGCGGTAGTAATTACAGAGTCCCAAGAAACTTCTTCACTCTCCCACATTGTATGGTGTTGGTCAATCATGCACTGCTTTCACCTTGTCAGGATCAGTTTGCACACTACGCTCACTTACAATGTGACCTAAGTAAAGCACCTCTTTCTGGAACAAGTGGCATTTCTTGGGATGGAGTTTGAGGTTGCTGCTTTCAAACGCTTGAATACTTCCTCTACCCAGGACATTTCCTCATCAAAATTTGTTGCAAATACAATGACATCTTCCAGGTACAATGGGGCTATCCTCCATTGTAGGCCTTCCAGTACCCTTTCCATCAACCTCTCAAATGTTGGTGGAGCATTGCTAAACCCGAATGGCATCATACGATATTGCCAGAGACCTTGACCATAACTAAATGCAGTCTTAGGTTTATCTGCTTCAGCAATTTTTACTTGATGGAAACCCAACTTTAAGTCCAGAGTTGAAAACCACCTGGCTCCACTTAGGGCATCAAGAGTATCATCAATTCTTGGCAGTGGGTATGAGTCTTTTTTGGTTCGGTCTGTTAAGACCCCTGAAGTCTACACAGCAACGTTGGGTCCTATCCTTCTTCTGGACTAACACGACGGGAGCTGACCAGGGACTATCTGATTTCTCGATTATCCCTTCCTTAATTAGACCAGCCATGACCTTCTCAATCTCTTGTCGCTTTGCTGGAGCTATTCTCCTCGGAGGGATCTTTATTGGATGGTGATTGCCTGTGTTTATTCTGTGCTTTACAAGGTCTGTACAGCCGAGGTCATGATCTCCTTTTGAAAAGACGTCTGCATAATTTACCAAAAGTTCTTTTACCTGAAGAGCCTGCGATGATGCCAAATGAACTATGCTCTTCTTATAGAGGTCAGTTAAATGTTCGGGAAGTGTATGTCCTTTCTTTATAGTTGTATTTCTTGCTTTACCATTGACTGGATCTACCTCTTGGCACACACCCAATAATGCCCCTTCCTTAAGTGTCGGTTCACATTTAGAGAAATTGGCCACTGTTATAGGTACTACTTGATGACCTGCCACAACTGACCTTCCAATCTTCAAATCCACTGGCCTGGATGGGTCTTCCACTGCTTCCACGCTATAACTTAAACAAACACTATAATTCACAACGAACGAACGATTCACGCGCTTGACTCAATTGTCGTCTCTATCTCTGTCTGCAATTCAATTCCATTGTTGCCGTCACTTCTTAGCAGTCTTATATACAAGAATACCGCATATCTAGGGACATGAATTTTCTAGAAGCTTATGATGTGTTACTAGCGTCACATGACTTCCGCTGTCATAACATTATTATGGCCTTTTCTTTCAGTGTCTTGTACTTAACAATATGTTTCGCTGACTTACCCTTCCCTACATCAGTATACCTTATGTATATTACAAAAATTGCATGACTGCTATCACTCTTTATTATATATCTTGCTCTGTCAGTTATATCCTTCACCTCTGCTCCTGAATAGTATAATCTAATTCTTTTCTTTCTATTTACCCCACAGACAATCCTATCCACTTGTCATACTAAATAATCTCAATCATATAACAGTAACCCCTTTATGTTTTTCATTCCCATCCTTTCTGTTACTTTTGTTATTCTTCTCATCTCACATTCATGGCTCAAATCTGTTACTTAGCAGAAGCTGCTTATTATAATTAAATCCACTACTACTAGCCCTATAACTATTAGTGCTGTTTTTTAAATTCCCAAAAATCCTTATTAGCCAATGTATCCTTCGCATGCAAAAGCTTAATTTCCTGTATAAATCTCGATGCCATTTCCTGTAGTTTACCCTTCTTTTTATCCATAGTCTCTACCCTATTTAGAAGAGCCTTCTATTTATCCCCCAACCTACAAATTCTACATTCAAAGTGTACAAACTCCACTAGTAGCTTCCTTAAATGTGTATATCAGCCCCAAATTCCCAAATATAACCCATTTCTTGTATTTGTCACTCCTAACAAACTGTGAACTCTTAACACTTATATTACTCCTAACCATTGTAGCCTGAAAATAAATAAGCAACACTAAATACAAGTAACATATTGACAACACTATTAAGCTTAACACTAGAGTTAAGTATATTTCACTATTTTTTCTCTACCTTTTCTTCTCACTAAAGTAATTAAGTTTACCTTTAAAATGAGAAGTGACAAATAACTATTCTTTACATTATGTTTATGTAATAATACAGTTTATTTATCTTTTTCTAAGACTTACGAATAACTGAATAAGCTTAAATATTCTAATTTACTCCAGCAACGGTTACCATGAAGAATAAGAGAACAAACATTTATTCTGCAACTTTTCTTTCTTTAATATTTTTTCTTAGTATATGGTATCTTCTCAAAAGCTTCTTATTTTAGAGCATGAAATTAGTTTAAATTGTGGGAACAAGTTTACAAAAACATTTTCACCTTTTATTGTTTTAAAACTATATTTAATTCATTGTATCATTCATTTTCAGAATGTGTTACACTTCTTTTTGGAATGTAAAGATTAAGTTCTGAGATTTAGGTATATTACATCTTTGGAATTCGCAGGTGTACATTTATTTTTTTGCTCTTTTTCTGTATAACTTGCATATGGATTACCCATCAGTTGATATAAGAATATATTAGGTTCTTTGATTATTATACAGTAGTTTTAGCTTTTTATTATAACTGTTAAGACATATTCACCATCATCTTAGATTTCAAGAGTCAAAGTTTGTTTTATTTTATCTGAAGGATATCATATAATGACAATCTTAATATAATCTTTTTATTATCTGTATTATATGCATTATTTTTATATACTTCTGAAAGAAGAAATGATGATATATGCAGTATTTCAAACAAAATTTATTTAGTGAACAAAGAAAACTGAATCTAATATACCTCTAACTTATAAGTGAGAAGAAAGTCTTTGATATTGAAATGATATTTTGAACCTAATTAAAATCAACTGACAAGCTGCTGAAACTATAAAGCTAACTTGTATCTGACCTGTCATTTTAGGTATTGAAATTAAATATCAGTTCATCAGCAAAGTTCGAGATGTAATTGCTAGTCTCCAAAAATCAGTGGCTATTGTTCTTCACTATCTGTTTGCCTTCTTAAACCAGTAAGTTTTGAAAGTCATTTGCATTATGAAAAGATAAAAAAGATATCACAACTTTTATCAATGTATATTATGCAATTGTCTCAAGAAAATAAAACATTCCACATTTCAGTAACCTTATTAAAAGTTAACTAACTTTCTTAATATTAAATTCCTATCAGCACAAGATATGTACTGAAAGTAAAACTAATAATCAGTATAGCTCATTAAATGTGCCCTTCTTATCATTCTGCTTATAAAGATTAGAATGCATTGTTTCACAAGTTGGATAACATTGCTGCTAACAATATTTTGTGCTATAATTCCAATAGTATCTCACAAGATTTGGCCAGCTTAGGAGATTTAGGTTAATCCTAAATACATATATTAAGCTAACAATTATAGATATGTCTTTGAAGCACATGCTTATTTTAGGTATTCTAATAATGTTATTGCTATATAATAGAGATTTTAATTAAACTGTTTAATACCTGATATATCACTACATGTACCAGTAATTTGTTTGGAACTTATGAAATGCATAATGCTGTCATTTTTTGTCAGATTGTATTTTGCAGATGTATACATATTTGCCAGAGTTTAGTGAAATTTTAATATAGGTAATTTCAAAAAGTATTGTCTTAAAATAAGCTTAATAATAGTGATAAACATCACACCATAGACTGTAGATCTTTTTCTTGACATGGTTCTTCAGTAGTCCTATATACATGTTGATTTTTAAACAAGTGGCATGTAAAAATACCTTTTTAAATTAATTTTTGACTGACAAATGTAAGTATCCAGTTAGCATTTCATTAAGTTCTTATTAGTTGGACTGGAAATGTTGGCAGAAGAAAATATCTGCTATCTAATGGATATTTTTATTTTTTGCTCTGTTAAGGTGTTTAAGTTTATAAGTAGCTTATTATGACATAATAAAATTACTTTTTTTTTGGTTCAATTAACATGTAAGTTTAATCTCTTTTCTTTTATGAAAGTTAACAATTTGTTTTATTTTCTGCTTCTGTTAGTGTCTTGATGTGTAATTAATTTATGTTTTGTGACAGATTAAAATTTTTGGCTTCTCAGAGTCTGTGTGTCTAAATTCAATAAATACTGAACCTTTAGTTTTGAAACTGGCACATTTAGTGAATTTGGGTGGACTAAAATTGATACTGTTATAAACTTGAATGATGTAATTTAAATGTTTACTAGAGGGAGCTGTGGCATAGAGTAGAGAGTCTTAATGATGACAGCTCTCCCACATATTCAACCCAGCCCACCTGTTGCTCTACACATACCCCTGGTAATCTTTCATTTAAACTTTAGATCCTGAGAAGTAATTAATTCTTACATCTAGTCCCAAGGAGAAAAATGTCTATGTTTGATAAACCTGGTAAGGAATTCTATGTACTTTTTAAACACCTCTTCTGATTTAGAATTTCCAGCATCATTGGTTCAAACATGCACTACAAAAATTTAATGCTTCATGGTACCAGCAGTTAAACTGTCAATGTTCTCTATAATATCCTGTACTTTAGCACCTGGTAAGCAAATTATAACCTGACTGGTATCTAAATGCTAACTGACATCTTGTCTCTATAGCCCTAACTTTTTTTTACCACTGTCCACCCCTATAAATCCAATGCAACTTCAACCCTGACTCTTATCTATTTCCTCTCTCTTTCTTTCTTGATTTCTGACATTTTCCCTCTAACAGCACTGTGGTTATATTTGCACTCAGTTTCCTGGTCTCTACAAATAGAGAGGTTTGTGGGTTTATTATGTGTAAGGAAAATTGCAGTAATTTATTGCATATGAATTGAAAGAGACAGACACAGTTTTAAAGCCTGAATAACTTAAAACATTTTGTTTAACAAAGTAAACCGAAAAATGGCTAATCATCTAGGTGGAAGAGCTATTGCCTTGTGAAGTAGTGTTAGGTAGTAAAATTAACAGTATTTAAAGATTAAGGAACTTTCCTTCACAATCAGTAGAAGGGACAGATAAATGATAAACATATATGCAAGTTGCTTCCATGACATATCCATTAAATCATCACATATCTCAAGCAGTTGAAGAATGAAATGGGTATTTATGCTATCCATAAAAAGATGTTGAAATGGGAACTGGAAAATCATCATCCTCTTAAATTAGATGAATTATGGTGATCCTGCAGAGAGGAATGGTATGCTCTTGACATGGTAACCTTATACAAAAGCCTTTTGCAATGGAAACTGCTTCAGGACTATTGTCAAGATGCACCAGTTATCAAATAGAATATGACTAGACATGATGATATGGACTGTAATGATGTGACGGCTCCAAGATCATTTTAATATAACATACTCAACCTCTTTAATTACTGTGTATCAATTATTGTATTTACTGATTTTGTTAATGTATTAAACTTGAGTATACTGACTGTGCATATCAATTACTTAATGTTTTTTGTTAATCTATTAATTTAGGATTATACTGTCTATTAATTAGTGAATTGTGTTGTATTCTCTGGTTTTGTTAATATAATAAACATGTGTATACATAATATGTGCTTATTGAATTGTGCTATACTGTCTGGACTTTATGAGTGTAATAAACTTGAGTACATTTGCTATGTATTGATTATTAGTTTTGTTGTTTACTTTCGTTTTGTTAGTGTTTCTGAATTCAGTGATGAGAATATGATGGATCCATATAACCTGGCTACTTGTTTTGGTCCATCATTCCTGCCTATACCAGAAGACAAGAACCAGGTTCAGTATCAAAATTTGTTTAATGAACTCATCAAAAAAATCATTATTTACCAAGAAGAGATATTTCCTGATGATGGTGGAATAGCTTATGAGAAGTATATCAGTCACATTGTACCAGAAGAAATGTAAGGGTTTGTTGAGATCTTAAGGATTTCATCATGATAAAAACTCTCTCTACCACTGTGTCCATAGCATAATTAAAAATTAATGCTTTACTGTGTCTTGTAAAATTATTCTGTTTTATAAAAAAAATTATACACTTAATCACAGTCAACTAATTAATTTTACAGTTTGGTTAAAAATTCTGAATCAGTATCAATAGTGATTTATTTATGGCAGATAAAACTGAAATTTTAAAGGTACCTACCATACACAGTTTGAGATGTTTGGTTGCTCCCTCCTTACATTCTGCAGAATATCTAGGCAACTGAAGTGAAATAGTCACCATGCTGTCAGTTTGTTTAAAATTTTATGGCTGCATGTCGTAGATACACATCTTTACAGATTCAGATCTTACGAATGTGATAGTCATGCAACAGACCTTATTAAGTAGTCATTCAACTATATCCATGACATTCATTCCGTTGAAACTACACAGTGGCTTTTCCAGTATGAGCAGGTTACCCTGCATGGTATCAATAACGTTGCCATGAACAGTATCATAAAAAGTACCCAACACTTTCTGGCAGGGATCTCACACCACACCACAAATTTTTGAATAACCTTCGTCCTCATGGCTTATCATTCAGTGCAGGTTTGTATGAAACCAGTCAGAGTCATGGATGGAGGGGGGTTGGAGAAAGAGAGCAAAGACTACTTTCTCCTAAAGTATGCTGTACTAATATTACATATATAGTTATTATATATTTAATTATATTACACATATATATAGTTTTCAATTATTATATTTTACAATGTTGTATTTTGAAGTATTTACCCCACCCAAACCAAAATCCTGGCTACAGCTCTGAAACCACTAGTGGTAGTTTTGCTGGATGACTAAACACTTTAGGTGAACTAAATTTTCATTTCTCTACTCCCATTGATCAATTAATTATCCAGTTACAGAATTTCAACTTGACTTTCAGGGTAATATTTGTGTAATTTCCATTATGTAGAAGTGCCACCTTGCCTCTTTTAATAACTACATGGTTCTCTGGTGTGAAAACCCTGTCTCATTCCTAGCCTTTTAGCTTTACATCTTTGAGTTCAAGGACACTTGTGAATACATTCGTTATTTTGTTGGTTCAGTTGCAGTCTTCAGTTTCCCAGACAGTAACATACCAGCTGTCAACCACGTTGAATTAAACCAAGCAAGCAAACATCAACAAACTGAATTATTCCACCTTTTCTTAGGGTGAAATAATCTATTATCTGTTACTTGCATGTCAGGATAATAGTTACCCTTTTGTCATTGTTCAGTGCCATGAGCAAGGTTAAACAAATCATTTAGTTTATTCTAAGAACTCATGAGTTGAGAGCAAAGGAAAATACATTATAATATATCGACCATATTACCTTTGCTATATCAAGTGCTGATGAAGTATTTTGCCCAATACCAGGGCTCATCAGGCCAGCTGAGATATGACAAAGATATATATATATATATATATATATATAATTATATCATCATCATTTTTCTTGAACACACTAGGGTGTAAATCACATTAAACAACTAAATTGTAATTATTATAATTTTTAAGTAATAATTAATAACACAAGATTATTTATTTTATCTGTACACTATTTTTGTGTTTATTTATTTATTTATCAGTACATTGATGCATAATTGTTGGTCCACATTGTAACATGTTCCTAACAGCTAATATAAAGTATTACACTTCTTTTTCACTTTCCAACTGATTTAGAGGAAGCATTAGCATATCTGTAATCATCTGCCTATTTTTAAAAAGTTCTATAAATATAGTACAGCATGCACAATATGATATTCTATATTAACTTTTCTGCCTTGCTCCTAAATTCAGTAATTCACTTTAATCATATTTTCTATGATTTGGAACCAATTTGAAAAGAGTTTTGCTGCTGAATTACTTGTTACATTCGTTTGAAATTGTGGTTGTTAATTTTGTTGTTGTTACATGCTTGTTAAATAGTTAAGATTCTGCTTTGTGAACAATATCAGACATGTTTCTGAAAACTTGAACTAAAAGAAAGTGTGGACCAGGAATGTTTTACATTTTTGAAGAAATTAATTTTATTGCTAATTTGTTGTTAACCTGAATTTATTTAATTCATTGATTTTTTCTTCTAAAATAACTGTACTGTTTTAAATTTAGTGGTAAATTATTATTGCTTAAGCATATATTATTGAGGATCTTTAAATCCATTAAGAACTGTAACATGTATGCTTTAGCCAGAAACAAGAAGAAGTGAAAGACTCCTTCAAATCTTTATATATGTTATTAGAAAATAAGTTACTAGTAACACATGTTATTTTGTTTATTTGAATAATATGAGGCCTGTTTCATATTAAAAATTGTTACATTTAATAAGCATATGTAAAAATAATCTTCACCAAAAAGTTCCAAGCATGTAAAGTAAATGCTTCATCAGAAAGGTATAATTTTGTCATTTTTTCTTATTTTAGTGATATGGAAGAATCTTCACTAGATAACTGCCCAGACAGTCTTGATGCCATCAGTAGTTCTGAAGTTGAAACTCCTCCTAGTGAAGATGGTAAGATATTTGAATGTTGGATCTTCACAAAGACTATTTGACCAAAACATTGCCCCTTGATGTGGATTCCTGTATGTGGTGAGGGGACCTCCTAGGGAAGATTCTGTATTTTCAGTTACTTCTTCTGGGATCTAAACATCCACTCACATGTTTGCCGTGTGTGGCGACCCGTGAAGGGGAGGAGAGGATCCTGGTGGTTGAGTGGTGTCTGGGGCACTGCAACACACCAGTTTGGCCTTAAATTCCTGTAGTAGGGTGGCCTTGGGGTGGCCCCCAGGGTCAGTCGGCTGGTCCACTTGGGCTAGGGTCAACTGAGTACCAGTGTTGGGCATTCTCAATGGGTGTTGTGAACATTGTGTCTGATGCTGGTGTTTTGGTTTAGTGCTCACAAAACCCTGGAGTTGCTGCAGTGTCCTTGTTTGACATTGTAGTGCATCCCCTCATAGGACTCCATTGCTGGTGGAGGCACTGAATCTTTCTCTTTTATTATAGATCCTCCAAATCCAAATGAAAAAAAATTTAAAAACTCTGCTAATTGGTAAGCAACCACACCTAGAAGACTCTGAACAGCAGTCTCCACCACAATGTGACTTGTATCTCGCTTCCTGATCCTGCATTCACTGTCCAATAAATCTTTAGGGCAAATGTCTCCCTTTTTTATTCAGAAGGGATCAGAGGGGCTTGGTGGCTCTCCAATGTCAGTCAAGAAGCTACGTTCTGGGGATATCTTGGTGGAAAAATCAACACCAGAACACAGTGAACTCCTCCTGAATTCAAAAACCATTGGGGATATACCTCGTGAATTCCTCATGAAGAGTTATTGTCAAGAGGGACTTGAAGACCATCTCCGAGTCAGAGATCTTTGCTGGTTTCTCCAGCCAAGGAGTTTCAGCAGTTTGAAGGATCTCCACTCGTCAAAATAGAATTATGGTGTCGACCTCTGTCATCATTTTGATGTTTTCATTGCCATGTCCATCTGCCGCTGTTAAGGTGGGTTATTTGAACTGTAAGATATGGCTGTATATTCCTAACCCTCTCTGATGTTTTCAGTGCCAGTGGGTTGGTCATTCAAAGACATCTTGTCATGGTTCTGTGACGTGTGCTTGTTGTGGTGGCAAGGACCACGATGCTTACGAGTGTGAATTGGACCCCTCACTGTGTTAATTGCAATGGTTCCCACCCCTCTTACTTTAGGTCTTGCCCTAAGTGGGTGGAAGAGAAAGAAGTACAGCGTTTAAAGACTATTAATAACATTTCTTACCCTGAGGCTCGATAGCTATTGTTCCCTACTCAATCTCGGACATATGCTACTGCTACAGTGGGGGTGCAGATGGAACTTTCCATGACTCCATCTGAGTTCTTTTCATGCCATGTGAGGGGTCTTCTGCCCTCCATGGATAATAGAGTTGACTGGTCTATACCTACTCCAATCTCTGTCCCAACTATTTCTTCTAGTGACTGCCTGGGTCATCCTCCTCGAGTGTCCGCTCAGGTCCTTCTTTGGCCCCTAGATGCAGGACGATCATTCGATCACATCCTCAATCATTGGATTCTCAGTCTGATGATAGAGATCTGCCCACTCGATCAAGGGCAGGATCCATGGAGGTCGATCGACCTTCATCTAGTAAAGAAAAATGGTGTGGTCATAAACCGAAGGGTTCTCCATCCTGTTCTCCTAAACCTA